CACTGTGAACCACTGATAACTACTCTCTGGAAACGGTTTTCCAACCAGTTATGCACCCAACTTATAGTAGCGCCATCTAGGTTTTATTTCCCTAGTTTCTTTATGAGAAGGTCATGTGAGACAGTGTCAAAAGCTTTACTTAAGTCAAGATATATCACGTCTACCACTTTCCCCCATCCACAAGGCTTGTTACCCTGTCAAAGGAAGCTATCCAGTTGGTTTGATATGGTTTGTTCTTGACAAATCCATGCTGACTATTACTTATCACCTTATTATCTTCCAGATGTTTGCAAATGGATTCCTTAATTATTTGCTTCATTAACTTTCGGGGTACAGAAATTAAGCTGACTGGTCTGTAATTCCCCAGGTTGCCCTTATTTCCCTTTTTATAGATTGGCACTATATTTGCCTCTTTCCAGTCTTCCTGAATCTCTCCTGTCTTCCATGACTTTTCAAAGATAATTGCTAATGGCTCAGAAATCTCCTCAATCAGTTGCTTGAATATTCTAGGATGCATTTCATTAGGCCATGGTGACTTGAAGACAACTAATTTGTCTAAATAATTTTAAACTTGTTCTTTCCCTATTTTAGCCTCTGATCCTACCTCATTTTTCACTGGAATTCACCATGTTAGACATCCAATCACCACCTACCTTTTTGGTGAAAACCGAAACAAAGAAGTCAGTAAGCATCTCTGCAATTTCCACATGTCCTGTTATTGTTTTCCCTCCTCATTGAGTAACGGGTCTACCGTGTCCTTGGTCTTCCTCTTGCTTCTAACATATTTGTAGAATGGTTTCTTATTACCCTTTATGTCTCTAGCTTGTTTGATCTCATTTTGTGCCCTGGCCTTTCTAATTTTGTCCCTATATATTTGTGTTATTTTTTTATATTCATCCTTTGTAATTTGACCAAGTTTCCACTTTTCGTGGACTCTTCTTTGATTTTTAGATCATTGAATATCTCCTGGTTAAGACAGGGTGGTCTCTTCCCATACTTCCTATCTTTCCTGTGTAGAGGGATAGTTTGCTCTTGTGCCGATAGTAATGTCTCTGGAAAACTGCCAACTGTCTTTAATTGTTTTTCCCCTTAGCCCTGCTTCCCATGGGATCTTGCTTTCCAACGCCCAGAATTTGATGAAGTCTGCCTTCTTGAAATCCATTGTCTTTATTGTGCTGTTCTCCCTCCTACCATTCCTTAGAGTCACGAACTTTACCATTTCATGATCATTTTCACCCAAGCTTCCTTCCACTTTCAAATTCTCAACCAATTCCTCCCTATTTTTCAAAATCAAATCTAAAATAGCCTCTTCCCTATTAGCTTTCTCCACCTTATGAAATATATTTATATGTTTTCGCAAATACATTGCAAGAAGTTGTTGGATAATCAATGCCCTGCTGTGTTATTTTCCCAACAGATGTCTGGGTAGTTGAAGTCCCCCATGACCACCAAGTCCTGTGCTTTGGATAATTTTGTTAGTTGTTTAAAAAAAGCCTCATCCACCTCTTCTTCCTGGTTAGGTGGCCTGTAGTAAACCCCTCCATGACATCACCCTTGTTTATTACCTCTTTTATCCTTACCCAGAGACTTTCAACAAGTCTGTCTCCCATTTCCATCTCAACCTCAGTCCAAGTGTGTACATTTTTAATATATAAGCAACTCCTTTTTTCCCTGTCTGTCCTTCCTGAGCAAGCTGTTCCTTTTTATACCAGTATTCCAGTCATAGGTATTATCCCACCAAATAAAATAAAATAAGATTAATGGAGATATCCCATCGCCTAGAACTGGAAGGGACCTTGAAAGGTCATCAAGTCCAGCCCCCTATCTTCACTAGCAGGACCAAGTACTGATTTTGCCCCAGATTCCTAAGTGATCCCCTCAAGGATTGAATTCACAATGCTGGGTTTAGGAGGCCAATGCTCAAACCACTGAGCTATCCCTCCCCCAAAGTTGCTGTGATGCCAACTGTCATAATTGTGTTTATTTACTAGCATTTTGAGTTCTTCCTTCTAATTCCCCATACTTCTCGCATTAGTATACAGACATCTAAGATATTGATTTAATCCGCCCCTCCAGTTCTGTGTTGCCTCTCCTTTATCCCTGCTATAACAGTCATGCTCTCCCCAAATTCTGACCCATCTATCAGGTCTCCATGTTTTTGAGTTACCTATGGGCTTTGGTCACTTCCCAAAGTTATACATTTCAACTTTTATCATTTATACGAAGATTTCACAAGTTAAACATCTTTTCACCCATGACTAATATCCATAGGCATGAGAAGTAGGAGTGTGGGGGATACTGCAGCATCCCCAGGTTTTGCATCTGGTGTTCCCATGCCCAGTGCTGGCCCTAGGTCCCCGCCGGCTCTGTCAGTGCCAGTCTGGCTGATGGACCCAGCAGGTTCTGCTGCTCCCAGTGTCCCACGGGCCTCTGGGGCTCAGCTATTTCTTGAAATGAAGGTGTTTTTTTTTAATTAACACATTGGCCTATACATCAAGAAAGAAATGGAAGATTTCATTAGATACCTTGTATGGATGAGATTAAAAAGAAAAAAACTACAGTCCCCAGCAGGAGTTGGTCCACATTAACAACAAAGCTGTGAGATGACAGTGAAATTCAAAATCAAAACCCCAATACTGGTACTTGTATCCCTATTGAGGTTTGGTAGCTAGTACTAAATGTCCATATTTTGAGTTGAATTTGTTTGTTACTGTTAGTTTCACTGTGTTTGTTGGGAGCAGAATACTACTGCTGCTGGTCCTACATATCAGCAGTGACCAGTGCAATCATTCCTTTCATTGGGGCAAACTGTTCACAACAGATACTTTTGTTGTTGCACACACTCCTTAATAAGAATATTTTCTAAAAGTTCCTCTAGTATCTTCTTGTGCAATTTTGTTTTTATCAAGTTGATCTGAGAAAACAATCATTCAACTGCGGTGTTGCTAAAAGGTAGTAACAGTAATGAAAGAGCAAACAATTCAAGTTCACTAAAGTCTTTGTTCTCAGCAGAATCCGTGTGTTTGAGAACTTCAGTCCCAAACTGCTCAACTTGGTTTTCCTGAGCATCAGGCCAGTGAATCAAATGAAAAACTCTCCATTGCTGCTTCAACTGTCCAAAGTCTCCACAAACCAATGGTAAACATGAGATATCAGCCAATCTAAGTCATGCCAAGTGAGTGCGGTAGAAGGACATAGTACTGCAAGCGATTCAATCACCTCGACATTTGGTGGCGATCTCTGTTTCATCTGTTTCAAAAACTCCAACATGAAATCTCGACACCTTTTTGACATCTTCGACAATGCGAACAGTTAGTGTCTGTTTTGAAAGCTCCAGCTGGAAAGCGACTGTGCAATCTGGTGAGTAATTTGACTCAACGGTTATGGTCATACTTTAATACAGCAGTCTCGTTCTCAAAAATACATGGTTTCACAACTCTCACCAACAAGCTCTAGGGGAATGTTCTCAATTCCTGCAGCAGCTTTCCTGTATTATCGCTTTCCAACTGAAACTTTTGGTTTATCCTCCAGGCTTCCTGAATTACTGGACATAGCAAAATCAGATACATTTTACTCACTGGATCACTGCACATATTAAAAAAGAATTTCAGCATTGTAGTTTCTTTCTTTGTCTTTGGCTATCTGAAAGCATAGCTTTAGTTCATCAAACTGATCAAGAACCCTGTTCACACAAGGCCTAATCCAAAACCACCTTGCTTCAGAAAGCTGCATTATCTTCTGGTAGTCTGGAAGTCATGGAAAGGCGAAGTGACAGGGTGTGTGTGGGTTGGGGACTGATGGGTGATGCTGAAGGAGATCAGCTGATGATTAGAGAGCAGGAAATTCCTCAACGGAGAAGCAGTGCTTGGTGATGGGATGATAAGACATTCGGTGTGAGGAAGTTCTGAGACTGTGAACTTGTACAATGTTACGCTCAGCCAAACTGGGACAGAGTACTCTTGATTAATGAGGAGAAATGCTTTCCCCTTCTTGTCACAGAGGATTAAACTCAGTGGCCCGAAGAGATCACCTTCTACATGTGTATTTGACCACTTTGTCACGAAGCTCTTTGATTTTGACCCCATAAATGATCGGGTTGAGTATGGGGGGGATGAGGAAGAAGAGGTTGGCCAAGATGATGTGAACATGGAGAGTGATGTGCTGACCAAACCGGTGTGTCAGAGCAGAGAAAAAGAAGAGAGTAAAAGATGTCAGCATCACACAGAGGTGGGCTGTGCAGGTGTTCAGGGCTTTCTCATAGGCTTTCTTGGAGGAGATTCTGAGGACGGCCTTGATGATCAGACTGTAGGACAGGGCAACCACTGTCAGATCTAACCCAGAGACTACAAATGCCACCACCAAGCTGTATGTCCTGTTGACAGTGGTGTCACCACATGATATCTTCACCACAGCTATATGCTCACAGTACGTGTGGGGGATAATATGGTTGCCACAGAATGGCTGCCTACTGAGAAGCAGGGGTAGGGGCAGCATGAGGAGAACAGCTCTTATCAAACCCACAAGCCCTAGCTTAGCTATTCGTGCATTGGTGAGGATGGTGGCGTATCTCAAAGGGTTACATATGGCAATGTAGCGATCGAAGGCCATTGCCACGAGGACGCCTGACTGCATAACAGAAATCATGTGAAGGAAGAACATCTGGGTGAAGCAGCCACCCACAGTAATGCCTTTGAAATCGAACCAAAATATACACAGTGACTTCGGCATGACGGAGGTAGACACGGCGATGTCTGTGAGCGCCAGCATGCAGAGTAGCAGGTACATCGGCTTGTGCAGCGTCTGCTCTTTCCCTACAACAAACAGAACCATGACATTTCCCAATAGGCCGATTAGGTACAGAATAGAGAAAGGGATGGAAATCCAAATGTGAGCAGCTTCTAGGCCAGGGATGCCAATTAGGATGAATGTTGACAGGTCAGAGAGAGTGAGGTTGAAATCTGCCATGAGGTGGTTGAAGCATTGATCAGGCTCAGAAATGCTCAATGTACCTGTGAAGGGAGAGAAGCACAGCAAGGGGGTTTCACACTTTATAGCAAATAATACGGTACATATTTTATAGCTATTAACAATTTAGAAAGGGGTTGAGCAGTGAGGTGGCAACATTTGCAGATGGCAACAAATTATTTAAGTGATAATCAAGTCCAGAGAAGTTCTCAGAGGGAGCTAGCCAAGCCAGGTGAATGGCACATAACCTTCAATGTAAAGAACTGCAACATTTATGCCCATTGGAGGGTATGCCTGAAACACCTCAAACACCTAACAAGGTTGTAATTTAACTGTATGAACTCAGATCCGGGAGCTGGGCATCACAGTACAGAGCTCTGTGAAACCCTGCTCACAGTGGAAGCAGGGACAGAAACTAAGCAAAACCTTGGAACCCAGGAGGAGTAGGATGGGAAATCATACAGAAGATACAATGCTATGAGGTCAGTCTGTCAATGTTTCACTCTCCTCTGGACTCCTCTGTATAGTACTGGGCACCCTTCTCACACAGGATATTGCAGAACTAGAGGAGTTCAGGGAATGATCAAGGAAAGAGGTTGAAAAGACTGGGAATGTTGGCTTACAAAGGAGATAAATAAGAGGGGATATGAGAAAAGTCTTTAGAATACTGACTGGTAGAAGAGAGGGAGAACACATGCTCGATCTACTCTCTAACATAAGATCAAGAGGACATTCAAGAAAACTGAAACGTGGCAAATTCAAAACAGATAAAAATGAATGCTTTCTTCACTTGATGCCTAATTAAACTGAGGAACTCATTGCCACAAAATGTAGCTGAGGCCATGAGCTAAGCAAGAATCAGGAAGGGTTTGGACATTTTCATGGATCATGAGACTGTCCAGTTACAATAGTAACAGATAAATAAATATTTTGGAAAGTCTATACACCCATGTGTTTCAGGGCACAAGCCAATCTCTAGCTGTTAGACATTAGGGTGACACTCTCATGATGGTCAGGTCATACCCCTGAATCAACCCACTGCTGGGTTTCTTACATCTTGTACTGCAGCACCTGGGGCTGTCACTGTTGGAGAGAGGACACCGGGCTAGATGGACCATATGTCTGATCCACGATGCAGTTACTATGTTGGAAAGGAGCCAAGTTTCCCTTATAGAAACAGACAATTTCATGCAGGTCTATGACTTTGTACTCAAGAGAATGCACACTAGAGGCATAAGTGTTGTGGTATTTCAGGCTACAGGACAGCACCTCGGTTACTTCCCTTGCTTCTTTTGGTGAGACACTTTCTTGCGGGCACCCAGCATTTTTTGAAACGTAAGTGACAGGTGCTAACTGACAGGTGTAAGGAGAGATGTGTCAGAAGCACACATGCTAACCCATCTCTTGACTGAATACTGATGAAGTTTACAGATGACACAAAAATTGGGGGATCGTACATAATGAAGAGGACAGGTCACTGCTTCAGAGCAATCTGGATTGATTGGCAAACTGTGTCGAAGCAACCAACATGTGTTCTAATATAGCCATTTAAATATCTACATCTGGAAACAAAGAGTGTAGGCAATGCTCACATGCTGGGGGGAGATTGTGGGAAACGCCATGACTCTGAACTAGATTTGGGGGCTTGAAGGGGTAATTAGCTAAACAAGAGCTCCCAGTGTGACCTAGTGGCCAAAAGAGCCAGAGATGATAACCAGGGAAATCTGAAGGAGAGGTACAGATGTTATTTTACCTGTATATTTGGCACTGGTGTGACTGCTGCTGGAATCCTCTGTCCAGTTCTTGTGTCCATGATTAAAGATGGATGTTGATACACTGAACGGGGTTCAGAGAAGTATCAGAGTTAGTAAAAGATTAGAAAACCTGCTGTATACTGATAGACTCAAAGATCTCAATCTGTGTAGTTTAGCAAAGATGGTGAAGGGGTGAGCTGAAAACAGTCTGTAAGTACCTACACAGGGAACCAATATTTAATAATAGGCTTTTCAGGCTAGCATACAGGGGTGTGACAGGATCCAATGACTAGAAATTGAAGTTATAGAAATACTGTCTGGAAATAAGACATACATTTTTATGTGGCCCATCAGGTAAGGCACTAGACTGGGACTGAGAAGAGTTGAGTTCTAGTCCTAGTTCTGCCACTGATCTGTTAAGTGAACTTGGGGCAAGTCACTTCACTTAGCTGTGGCTCAGCTTGCTCATCTACCAAGTGGTGATGCTATTTTAAGTGCTTTTGGGGGGGAGGTATAGCTCAGTGGTTTGAGTATTGGCCTGCTAAACCCAAAGTAGTGAGATCAATACTGGAGGGGGCCACTTAGGGATCTGAGACAAAAAAAGTACTTGGTCCTGCTAGTGAAGGCAGGGGGCTGAACTCAATGACCTTTCAAGGTCCATTCTAGAAAATAGGATATCTCCATTATTTTTTTATTATTATTTTAAATGGTAAGAATAATTAAGCATTGGAACAATTTACCAAGGGTCTTGGCAGATTCTTCATCATTGAGAATTTTTAAATCAATGTTGGATGTTTCTCTAAAAGATCTGCTCTAGGAATTATTTTGGGGAAATTCTGAGGCCTGTGTTATACAAGCCTGGGTTATACAGACTAGATGATCACTATGATCCCTTCTGGCCTTGGAATGCACTGGTCCAGTCAGGAGTCAGATGGAGGCGTTTTCTCTGAAAACTTATGCCTGAGCTTACTGAAGGCATTTTTTTCAATTCATGATGGTGTTGAATTTAGCCATATGTGGAGAAATTCTCATTTGACTGTGAAACCTTGGAAATGTTACACTAGGTGTGTATTTCACAAGTCTGATGGGTCCTGTCAGGCACTGCATGGATGAAGGTTTTAGGTGAAAAAAATAATGACTTGACCCATAAAATCTCCGCACTGGGGAATGACTGTACAACCCTCGCCATTGACTAACAGAGCTGGCTATCTAATGGTCCCAGAGCATCCTGGGTTTAACATCCGTGTCCCAGTGTCGCACTGTTTCAGGCATGTCCCAGAGTTTCCCACTCTCATTATGTAGTGTGCATATTTTTCAGCTTACGAGTTGTTCCTGTATAACAATCATTGAAGCATCCCGCGATGTGTATTGGTGTAACAAGAGAAGACGCATAGGTGTCTGTTTGGAAATTTGCCACTCGTGTGTGAAATTTCTCATGATTCAGACACAGTCTAGGACCCCAGAGCTGTACCATCATGCTCTGGTCCAAACTCTGACCAGTATGAATTAGTTACCCTGTTCACCCCTCCCTGAACATGGGGAGGACAATGCACACTTGCAGTAAGCAAGCTGAGATTTCCGCCGCCCCCCTCCCCGACACTTCACTTCAAGGCATACTGGGTTTAGATTAACACATAAAAACAAGTTTATTAACTACAACAAATAGATTTAAAGTGATTATAAGGGATAGCAACCAGATCAAAGCAGATTAACTAGCAAATAAACAAAAACACAAACTAAGCTTAACACACTAGTTAGATTGACTATGATTTAGCAGTTTCTCACCCTGATTGATGACACGAGCAGTGTGGAAGAATCTCAAGGCACAAGCTGCATTTGCTTTACAGCTTGGGTTTCTCAGGTTTCCATACAGAGGCTAGAAGTACTTTTAGTCTGGTCCAGCACTTCTTCCAGTTCACTCTTTTTTCCTCAGTTGTTCCCAGGAATCCTCTTCTGTAGGGAGTGAAGAACCGCCGTTTTTCCTTATGGGTCATTGCCCTGACTAGGCCCTCCCCAACCAGCTATCTAGACCAAAAGCGGAACCCCCACAGACCCCAAGATCATATCATAATATCACTATGGAGAATATGGGGTGCCATGTCACACAAAGATCAATGGTTCTTTCCACTGGTGAAATGCCTGAAGTTACGTAACAACAGTTGGATTGAAAACTGAGTAAAGGTGGTGACACCCTGGCTGCAGTTCTGTGGCTTGCCAAGGCAGGTCTCCACCCCGCACAACTTCCATCCCTGCCACACAGCGATACACCTCACTCAGGTGCCAGACCTCACAGCGACAGCTCACAGAAATACCTCCTCAGACGAGGTTAAACTCAGTGTCTGTCTGCACCGGGGAAAAGGGGGAGATCAGCCTGAATTGCCTTTCCGGGGGTGAAGGGAACCCCAGCAACAGCTCAGCCTGTGCAGGGAAGGAGAGAGGGAAAGGTCTGGCGGGAGGGAGAGAGAACATGGAGATTAAAAGTAGCCAGCGTCAGTAACTCTTCCTCAAAATGACACAAAGCTTTAACGTATTGCAGCCCGTTGGAAACCCAGACATCCCTTCCTGAGGCTGATTTTCTGTGTTGGCAATTGCTGATGCTGCCAAGAGCCTGTATCAGGAGGAGGGATGGTCCGGATGGCAGACGGTGTCAGAGACAATCTGCTAAAGTGTGGTCCACATTTCATTCTGGTCTGAGACACACCCCCGCCCCTCCCCCAGCAGGCCTCGTTACGCCTCTTTGGTCTGTGCATTAGGCAGGATGTGCATTCCCTATTTCACCCAGTTTCAGCATTCTGTGCCACTGTGATCTGGATACAACATTCCCCCTCCCCCCCACCCCAACATACATACACTGTGTGTTCCTGCACCTCCCCCGCTCAGATTTCCAACCCCGAGTGGTTTCCTCTATGCCAGAAACATGCTTTTATTTTTACTGCCTTTTAGTGCTTCTCAACCACTCCAGAACCAGACATGCCGGGGGACAGAGAGAGCAGACTCCTCTCCCTCCTTGAAAAAAAATGTTATCCTAAGAGTTCTGAACCTCTAAGCCTGTGAGTTTGAGATTTCACCAACTCTCCTCTCAGTTCATTTTGGTTCAAACAAGCTCACCCGCCCTTAGATGCCACAGGACAACTCCAATTGAAGTCATTGGAGGCTCATGGCCAATGTAAATCAGGCTATGTATTTCTGTCCCTACATGTGGATTTAGGGTGAACTCCAGCCTGTTTTCAGAACTTTGCCATTGATCTCAATGGGACCAGATTCACCCTGAGTTTCTAACTTTTGGCTAC